CTTAGTTTAGCCTGTAGATTACACGCCACATCTGTACATATAGTGCGATGGACATCAATGGAGTTTGTACCGAACGTCCGGGAGCAAAGACAGAAGCCAAGTTCAATCAGACTCAGCTGTCAGTCATGAGCAATCCCTCCTAATGTCATTTCCTCTCCGAAATGCTATAAATACGGCCTGTGATCCCCTTCTCTTCCTCCCATATCCCTCCTCCTCCCCATCTCCCCCTCTGCAGCTGCCCCTTGGTCACCCCTCACTCTGCAGGGGGGAGGGGTCTCAGCCTCCTCGTCCTCTGGCCAGGAGGTCAGCCCTCATCCCAGTGGGCTCAGCCCGTTGACTAAAACACTCCACACTCCTTTTCAGTTCACTCCATTCCTGGGCGTTGTGACTCCTAGTGAACCGCTCGTTGAAAGGAAAGCCCCTGTGATTTGAGTTTCGCTTGTGCTCGCCGAATGAGAGGTGAACGAGGGGCTCCTCTTTGAATCGGCTGGCAGTGTCCTTCCCCAGGCTGCGGACGGCCAGCAGAGACCCTCCGTGCCCCAAGGAGAGTGCGAGGGGGGAGAGACAGGAAGAGGGCAGGAAGGAAGAGGGTGACAGAGAGAGAGCGAGGGAGAGCGGGTGGAGAGGAGAGGGGGGCGGGCGATGAAGGAAGCCAAGCGAGTCAGGGAGTTAGCGAGAGAGAAAACAATTAATAATGGGAGCTACTGCAGGCAGATTGTCAGCGCTAAGAGGGAGGTCGAGTTTCAGGCCTTTTGAAGACTTTGATGGTACAAAACAGACCTCATTACAGAGATATTATCTTCATTCATGCACTTTTAAAGCCGGCCGGTTCCCTACTGGGAAAGATTAGACTCCTTCGCCTGTGAACATCCTCTCCCTGTCGCCCCAGCGCGGAGGTTTCTCAGCTCGGGAAGCGCGAGGGCGCAGAGCCACTACGGGGGAGAATCGCGGGATTCTGACAGCGCGAGGAAGATGGGAATGAAGGAGCTGGGGATGGGGGGAGTCTTAGATTCGATCTCTTCCTGTCCAGAATCCGGAATCCCAGAATCCCGGAAATCCCCCAGAATCGATCTCAAGTGGTTCCCCCTAACCGTAGACACTACATTTTTACTTTAAATTAGAGAGCTGCCCTGATTTGTTTTTTGAAGTGCAAAACTTCAATGGAGACATTTTTGCAATGCCAAATGGAGCTCTGGTATACACCACCGAGCTGAATTATTTGAAAATCTCCTTTCCATGTGATGATATTCAGTGTCTGCCAGATGGTTTGAAGTGACCACTCCTTTGCTGTTTTAATCAGGGGGAAGCTCAGTGAAGTACAATGCCTAATCACATGCTTGCAGTATACCTTGGTAAAAGGTAGAATCCACATACTGTACCTGTGCTCATTAGGCAAGATCCCATCCTGATTTCTGTACTGTTAAACAGACTAGAGAGCAATGACTTTGCCCCTGAATGTGGATGAAGAATGTGACCTCCAGCACAGCACGTGGTCTGGAGTAACGGGGGTAAAACACCCTTCACAGGGGCACAACAGCTGTGTCTGAAGCAGGAATACCAACCCACAACCTGCCAGTTATGAGCCCGAAAGGCTCAATACCATCATTTTGCAGAATAAAATACTATATATGCAGTGATAACCCTGAAGAAAGCAGTAAAAAAGAACAGCAACTCAAAGCAAGACAAAAATCACTGTTTTGGGTTGTAAAATGCCCAACCATATATGTATAAATGGGCACAAATGTAAGTCACTTAACAGTGTGGACTTTGCCAGTCCTGCAAGATCTGGGGCTGGTCAATGCACCGCCACGCAGACATTTGCTACATTCGGTTCTTAATTATTTAATGGACCGGAACTCCGTTGACTAACTGACTGTAACAGTGTCCTGAAATGGAATATGGACAGCAGCAGAGTTTTCACACACAAGGGTTGGCCCAGTGCATCCTAGCTGGGATAAAGCTATCTTGTACTCCATCTGACCTCGATGTAAAACATTACAGTTGACCTCAAGGGCAGATGGACTTTAAAGCATTGCATTGATCGTATAATTCTAATTGCAGTTTCAAAGGCACATGAAGCAGAACTTTGTGTGTTTTTTTTTTCCTTCAGGGTTCTGCGTGCAGGCAGAGGATCTAGAGCTGGCTGTGAAAGCAAGAGTCTGTACCAGATGCCTCGGAAAATCTAGAAGCCACTCATCCCCATGTGAGGTTTACATTCTGGAGAGGACAACAGAGCAGCTTAATGGCTGAATCTCTTCTGGTTTTTAATGTCCAGACACCTGCGGTCAAACCTGTCTTCCCTCAGAGCTGACCTGGGCTCACTGGTTGACAGCTGAAACCATTCGCAACAGAACGGCAGATTTTCACACAGAAGGGTCAAGAACCGGCCCGATGCATCCTAGCTGTGATAAAGCTCCATCTGACCTCAGGGTTTCCTCATCTCAATATCACAAAAAAGTATGGTGAGGAAACATGGCACGGTTGCTTTAACACATGGTTACAGTGCAAGGGATAGCCTTTCAGTTGACGAGAAGCAACAAAAGAAACAGCGCCCTCGTGTGGCTGGACCGCATAATGGCACTATGAAATGATGCCTCTCACCCCTCACTGCAGTAGGATTTTTGGTAACATTTGAGAGAACTTCCATCCACCCTCTTTCTAACCACGTCATCCAATTCAGGGTCGCGGGGAGCTGGAGTCTATCCCAGCAAGCAACGGGCACAAGGCAGGATACACCTCGGACAGCACGTCAGTCCATCGCAGGGTGCACACACACATATACCGGGGGCCACTTTTTCTCCGAAGCCAATTAACCTACCAGTGTGGTTTTGTAGTGTGAGAAAAAGGCAGAGCACCCAGAGGAAACCCACTCAAACACAGGGAGAGCTTACAAACTCCACACAGACAGCACTCCGGGTCTGGATTTGAACCCAGGGCCCCAGCACTGCCAAGCCACAAAGCTACCCACAACCCCTCTGTGCTGCCCATGTGGAGAAGCTTGCCATTTTACTCCATGGCTACATTCACTTTGAAAAATAATAATAATAATAATAAACTTTATTTTATATAGCGCCTTTAAAGGTGGCTTCTCAAAGCGCTTTACAGAATGACAATAACAATAAATAAGAAGACTACAACAATAAATAAGAAGATTTCACAAGATAGGACACAATTATAATTACAACAATACAACAATAACAATAGAGGAGACCGTGGAAGGTGATATTAAGAAGAGCAGAGGGGAGAAAAACAAACGCTCTAGAAGAGCTCCAGAAGCAGCCAGTTAAAACCTGGCAGTGCTGAGCAAATGGGACATTTCTTCAGAATCCAAGTTGGTATCCATTATTATTTCTTTGGCATCGTCCTGATTATTTAAACAGTGAGTCTTGCCGTGTTTTTCCAGACTGTGAGGCTGGAAGGTGTTGGGACCAGGGCCCCAGGAAATAGCGTTCAGGAAGCACGGGGGCATCCAAATGAAAAACAAAAACTTCAGAAAGACGTCGGAAGAGGAGAAGTGTGGCTGCAATGTGGCTCAGTTGAGTTACAAAGCGTTTTTTTTTTTATTAAACTGTGGCAGACACAGGCCGCTGGGAAGCTTTTATGAGCTGCACCAGTAAAAGTTATTGGCGTTGCCAGGAGATCAACAGGAAAGGCCAGAGGGCTTTGACAGTGGTGGTGATGGTGGGGGGTCACATTAGCCCATGGCCTGGCCCTGTTTTATAGATGGATTGAGGCAGAATGGAGCCGTTTAAAAGCCTAGAGATCCTTCCGGGATCTGGAGCTCCTTGAACCCACCCCACCAGGCTTTCCGGAGTACTGGCCGCAGAAGGATGGACTTCTTCAAAAGGTAGAAAGCACTTAAAAAGAAACGCCCCTCAGACGATGTTGGATAGCAATTCCACGTCCACTGAATACTGAACTTTTCCAAGGAAGTCTTGTTCCAAGAGTGATTGTTTAGTTACTGACAAACATGCAAAAAATGTTCAGTGTGCAGTTCCTCACCTCTTTTAAATAGGGGGGTTCAGCTGACAGGGGGGGCACAGATTTGGTCCTGAAACAAAAAAAAAATGCAAATGAAATGAAGGGAAGAGGGGGGAATCTCATCCATAACACAGTTTTTTATAGAGGTCTTCCATTTAAGTGAAATCTTTCAGATGCCTTTAAAGGAGGTGTATGTGGAAATCTGGTTGAGAAAGTTGTCCGTCTTACCTCAGCAGACACAACTGATGGGATGTTTCCTGTTGTGCATCAGGAGGAAAAGCTGCAAAATGTCAGATCAGAATATTAAAGAAATATTTTTTTTTTTTCTGCGTGTTGCAAAACATTTTCAAATAAATGTCCAATGATTTCTATGCGTTCGAAGATGGTGGACAAGGACAGGGGAGAGGACAGACAATCCAGACCTTTCCTCTCACACACTGATTGGGAAAGTGTGAAATACAGGATAATGAGCCGACACTCACCTTTTAGATGGAAAAGATTCCTGAGCCTCTCTAAGGGCAGGCTAGTTTTTCCTATACTCCCCAACTCCCTCCTCATAAATTCTCCTGCCATCTCCTGTCTGTATTTCTGATACCCTGTTTACCAGACTGATTTATGACTGCCAGGCGCAGAGCTGGGCATCCTTCTTAAAGAAAGTGTTATCCGATAGATAGATACTTTATTATTTATCCTGTGAGGGAAATTGCAGAGCATTAATGCTTTTTAAAGGCCATTTAGATGCAGGTAAAGCAGGGATCTAAAGCCCTCTTCTCTCAGGGACACAGGGGTTCAAATCCATCCGAATATTTAAGGCAAATCAGTAGCCAGTTCCTCCCCCAGTGCTGAAAAATGACTGTGCAGCTCCAGAGCCTCCACCTGTGTGCAGAACGTCTCCACCTTCAGCACACCAGACCATATGGAGTGGCCCGGGTCTCCAGCTTTGACCTAGCCACACTGAGATCTAAGGAGCCATGTGCCGGAACTTGCCTGGAACAGAAACTGAGGTGTTGCATTTCCGAGCTCTCGTTGGCAGCCAGCCGGGGAAGATTGTGGAAAAAATGAGCGCCCAAAATAGAAAAATTGCTGCTCTCCAGTGCGAGGATGTCAAACAAATGATTAAAGAGAAAAAATAAAACCCCAACACAACATGATTGAGAAAAAAAGGGCAAAGGAGAGGAAAAGGATGCAAGCTTATGAATGATTGAGGCCCCACCCCTCTCTTTCAACTCCTCAGACCCAAGCCCTGCCCAGGGTAAAATACAAGAGAGACCGGAGGCTGACAGGCAGAGAGAGAGAGAGGGACTTCACAGGAACCAGCAAGGACGATCCCCGGCTCTCCTTCCCTGCGGCACGAACACACAGGCACACTCACGCACGCTGCAACTGCAAGCACACTCATTCACAATTACTGGCAGGGCAGCCTCGTTCTCTCTGTTCCGCCTGAGCAAGTGGAGAAAGGCACAGAGGGCAGACCTGCAAGGTGCACAGCGGGGAAGAAGGAGGAGAGAGTACTGAGGCAGTCCCGAGGGGAGACCGTCCCGGTGGCAGGAGGGAAGAGCTGAAGGAGGGAGCTGGGACGAAGGAGGACAGTCAAAAGGGAGAAAGACCAGGCACAGAGCAGGGAAGAAGAGCTTTCACGGATCCCAAAGTTTCGGCAATGGAATTACAAAGGACATAACTTCCAGGAACCGGCAAACCAGAGGCCAAACAGAAAGGGAGCGATAGAGAAACGTTAACCAGTGATTTGCCGCAGAGCAATATTAACCAAGAGGTGTGCCGGGTCCGGGGTGGGCTGGGGGGGCTTTGCTGCAGCTGAGGGTGGGAGCCCAGTTCCTCTTCCCCCTCCATGGCTCTGTAGAGCTCAGCTCAGGCGAGCGTGCCCCTGCCACCCTCGGGCTCGTGTTCAGTGGCCCCAGCCGGGCCAGCAGCAGCATGCCCTGTGTGAGTGTCAGGGGCTCCCTGGGCGTGTGACCCACCATGTCCAAATGGATGACACCCGCTGCCGGTCTCTCTCCCACCTTGGCCACCTCCTCCCGGCCCCCGGCCCCCGGCGGGACCCCCCTCCGCCTGGCCTGCTGCGTCCTGCTCCTGGTGGCCGGCGCGGCCTCGGGCAGGTGCCCCGCGGGGCTGGCGAGCGGCGGGCGTGACCCCCTGCGGGCGCTGGAGGGGGCCAACTGCTCCTGGGCGCTGGAGCGACACACCCGCAGTTACAACCACCTGGAGGGCGACGTCAGGCTGCGGCGCCTGTACTCCGCCAACAAGTTCTTCCTGTGCATCGACAAGACGGGGAAGGTGGACGGTACCCGCAAGAAGAACTACCCTGACAGTGAGTACCATGCCAGCATTTCCAAGGGCTGTGCTGTAGTTTCACTGGCCACGCAATTCGTGTTCTCGTTTTTAACTCTGCCGGTGCTTTGCATGTGCTTGGTTTCGCCTCTTTTGCAGGCGAGGGTGAACAGCCGGCGCAGTTCGAGTTAAAAACCGCGTGTGAACCTCTGAAACTGTTTTCAAGTGAGAGGTGGGGTGTCGAGCGCTGCGCGTTGGTTAAGACTTGTAAAAAAAAAAAACTCGTAAAAAGGGTTAAAAAAAAAACAGAGTAAAGGTAAAAAAAATATTACAGGGATTAACCTTAAAAGTCACGATGAAGTTGAAAGTCCGGGTTTGTTGCAAGTAAGAGGGGCGCTCCGAGCCATTCTTGAAACTTCGGTCATTTTTACAACGGCCGCTGTAAGTGTTATTGTCGGCAGCCCTGCTTCGGCGGCGTGATGGCTTCTCAAACGTTAGTTTATGAAGGCACACTTCGTAAACGAAGTGACGGGACAGATTTCGGAAGAGCGGGTTTCTCAGCGCAGAGCTTCGAACGCGCGTCAGTTGACAGGCGTTTCTCGCAAAGCACGAGGGCTGGTTTCATTTTTGTCGGACAACCTAAAGTAGAACCAGGCGCGATTAGAATTTATTGCAGGGTGTCTCTGTTCCGGCTATATACTATGAACTGTAAGGTCTGCCTCCACTCCCCTGAAGTTTATCGCAGATGATAAGTACACAGATTGACTAATAAACATGCCGGTTAGCATGAACGCACCCAACGGGTAGTAAATGACTCTCCTCATGTCCTTTGCTGTGATTTTTTTCCGTTTATCGGTTGTTTGCTTTTTGTTTCCTTCACACAAAACACTAATTTATTGATAAGGACAAGGGATGCCCAAACTAAAGACATCACCTTGCAGGTAAATGAGCATGACAGAGCTCTTGAAGCTGCTCAGGTGTTCCTTTCAGAATTCCTTGTTTATGTGTTTTACCATGAATGCGTTTACTGGGAGAAATCCTGGGTCACCATGTTTCCCTACGGTTATGCTGCTGTGAACGTTGCTTGTGCATGCCACTGTACCGACTCATAAATGCAGAGTGGTGTTCATTGAACCTCGGAGATGTCAGCAGCTATGTTTTCATCTTGAGAACTACATAGAAAGACTAAAAACGGAACTGTATGATCTTGGTCTAACAGGGAGTAAAAGATGTTTTGAATTTGCTATAGAGGGCCGGTCAAGCTCTTATTGAACATAAGCGCCAAAAACTCCTTCAGCAACAAAACTGAAAAGTCTGTGCATGCCGGTGTTTAACCTCGCCACTGCTGTGCAAACAGGTTTCGGAATCCTGTGAGTCACTGTGGTTCCGTCAGAAGTTAGTCATGTTGGCTGTGGGTCACTTGTGCCACTCGTGCATTGGAACAGGGGTGTTCCCGATGGGAACTGATCGGAACACCGGCCTTGCGGAGGCTGGGGGGGGGGTGGAACGTGACCCGGAAAAGAAATCTGGGCAGGAGAGAGGGAGATTGTCAGAACTCCACCATAACAGGCAGTGGTGATGCTCGGGCAGCCTATATACACCTAGATCACCTTGAAAAAACCTGGGAATCGAAGGTCATCCAGTGCTTGTTTCCACAGGCACGTGGCATTACAGTCCAGCTGATTTTATACTGGAATTACCAGCACTATCACAACTGAAGTACATGATCAGAATGAATTTGGCTTGATTTAGAGGGATGGACAGTGACCCGATCAAGAAAGTGCTTCTTTAAAGCGAAGCACATCTTGGCACATTTCAAAGAGCTTTTGCGCCAGTGAAGTTTTTTTTCTTCTCCATGGTTCCTAAACTCCTGCAAACAAGGAGGCAGTTTTTAAGTGAATTGTTCCTGTTTTCAGCAGTTCAGTAGCTGTAGGGTTTAACACTTCCAATCACAAAATGGGGAGTGAATTTCACATGAGATGGGAAAGCTTAGGAAACGATCTTGTCATCAGAAATTCCCTAGACTGCAGAGAAACTGACATAGTCAATGCAACAGTTCTGTTTTCTGAAGCAATATTAACCTATTCCTTGCAGCGTGCCATTCTTGCAGATGTGGTTTACAAGTCAGGATTTAACTAGTCTTTGAAGTGCTCTGTGAGCATCTCAGACAACACTTTCACCTCGCAGTGAAGCCAGTATAAACAACCTGGTTCAAACTCCAATGTCTTTCAATTAGATGAATCAGACATACCGTGATGTTTCTGATGAGCAATGTAGCATGATGTATATATGAGTTCAAATGAGAGACAGTTCCAAATGCATATACAGTCCACCCGGCTCACTCACTCACCCAGCCTCCACCTACCAACACACACACACACACACGGAGCCAGGCTCAGACTCACACACTGTCTGGGTCCAGAGAGTGTCCATTCCTGAGCTCCCCCCCTCACTCTCTCACCCTCTCATGCTCTGTCGGCAGTCTCACCCCAGCAGTTTCACTACGCCCAGCCTCCCCCCTGCCTGGGTCATTTTTTCCAGCCCACAGTCCCAGCCTCTCAGGTGCAAAAACAGTAGAAATTAGTCAACGGCCCTTTTTGCTAATTGACACTGGAAAAAACTGTATCAATCCCAACAGAGTCGTGTCTGGAACCTGCGGGGTGAAGGGGCTGGAGCTCTGCAGGAGGAGGGGGAAGTTGGCCTGTTTTAATGTGGATTTTCAAGAAACACAACAGACTTTTATAATAACAGTAATGACAATCAGTGAGTTAAACCGTTTTATAATAGATAGCAATCTGCTGCGCTATTCCGTAAGAGCTATCAATTATTCTTTATGTTTATTATTTTAATTGTTAATTAAACTTGATATGCAACCTGATATGGAACAGTCAACATGCTTCCGAAACACAGCTTAATCGTTTTTCTTCTGGTTTGTTTCTGCTGCTCTGCAAAAAAAAGGTTTCTAATAAAGCCTAGTATGCAGTAGCTTTTAGCATATTGTCTGGGTTTCACTCATCATGCCGGAGTTGGGCGTTCTGCTTTTAACACAGTGCATTAGATATCCACTGTAAATAACACACACCAATCTCCCACACGGTAGAATGGCAACTCAAAATGAATTGAGGTGGTAGAGTAAAAACAAATACAAATTTGTCATTTTTTAACTCCTTTTTTCATTCTATATCACAACCACTGTGCTTCCTATGGCTTGCCTGTCAGATGTTATTTAGTGGCATTCATTTATGACTTTCGTCTTAACCCCTATAGAGGTAGCCTCTCCCCCAGACACACTTTTCAAAGACAGGACAGAACGATGACTTAAAGAGCAACAGCCCCCCCCCCCATGAAAAAAGTAAACACACACATCATTTCCTGTTCCAGGTCAGAGGTCACGTTCTGCTAATTAGACACACAGTGCAGCACAGCAGCTGCTGTCATTGGAGCAGTCACAATATGATGGATTGCGCTGGCCAATTATTCAGTAAGGAAACAGCCATTAGGAGAAAAGGCAATCATAACACAATGTTTGGTGTTCCTTGCCTAGTTTCAGCTCAGTTCAGAATCTATTTTGGATGATTACTCTGGGCTAGGTTGTTTTCTTTTTTATTTTCATGCCTTGGGTCATCATGAAATATTGCTGGCAGCTTGGCCAACTTATGAGCAGTTTTACATCTTGATGAAAAAAGGACACACTGTTGAAACTAAGGGCGTGTTTGTGGCAGCAAAAATCAAAAGATTGACTGGGATCCAGGCTATGACACTGTATTCAACCTGAGGAAATAAGGTCATGAAAGCGGGTATAATCAGAGAAGCCATTTGCATTAAAATATTACTACTTTGCCATGTGCCAGGCATTTTATTTTTCTTAAACTGTATTTATAGGAAGTTGTGTCATATTTGCTGTCTTTCCTCACCTTTTTTCTCTTAAAAATAAAGACCCCTGAGCTCCTGAGTGATTTTATGTTCTTATTTGGTTTGGAAGAGACCCAGTGGGGAAGAGAACCTTCCACCATTGCACAATTTGACGGAGAGCTGAGAAGGGAATCAGGGGGCTGTGCAAACTCTGACGTCTGACTTTGCCTCACCAGTGTAGGACGCTGTCTCTTGCCCTCTGTCTCTCTCTGCGGCACAGCAATGTGGCATACACCGTGCAGAAGAATAACATGCAATTTGATTGAAATCTTCACATGGTCTAGTAGGTGTGTAATACAACTACGTGAAGTAATAATAATTGCTTACACTTATATAGCGCTTTTCTGGACACTCCACTCAAAGCGCTTTACAGGTAATGGGGATCCCCTCCACCACCACCAGTGTGCAGCCCCACCTGGACGATGCGACGGCAGCCATAGTGCGCCAGAACGCTCCCCACACATCAGCTCTCAGTGGGGAGGAGAGCAGAGTGATGTAGCCAATTCACAGAGGGGGATTATTAGTAGGTAAGGGCCAGGACGCCGGGGTTACACCCCTACTCTTTTCGAGAAACACCCTGGGATTTTTAATGACCACAGAGAGTCAGGACCTCGGTTTTATGTCTCATCCGAAAGACGGCGCCTGTTTACAGTATAGTGTCCACGTCATTAGACTGCAGGGTAAGCGCCCCCTTCTGGCCCCACTAACACCTCTTCCAGCAGCAGCCTTAGTTTTTCCCAGGAGGTCTCCCATCCAGGTACTGACCCGCTGGGCTTCACTGGGTTGCCAGTTGTGAGTTGCAGAGTGATATGGCTGCTGGCCATAGTGATATGGTAGGAATGGCACTGCAAACGTAAACAAAGTCTGTAATTATAGGCTTCACAGTTCTATAGGTTGCAACAGCTGGGCATCATGGCTGTACTGTATATAAAGATCTTTATTAGCCCCTTCAACGTGGGTGTAAAGCCCACAGTTCCTGTATCAGCGTCTTCACGGGTCCAAAGCCCCAGGAGACATCCCGGTCCCCCACTGGCAAAGAAAGGAGACTGTGGGGGCTCAATGGGTTTCACCAGTGACGGCTTGCCAGGACTGGGGGGGGGGGAGGATCCCACACATCCTGGCTCTTTA